GAAGGACAACCAAAACAATACATAAAAATTTGCTGAAGGAAGATGCGAGGATCTTCGCCATTTTTTTCTTTTTTTTTTTTGTTCACTTTTTGGATTAAAAATTTCACAAGTAAAAAGGAGTGTCTGTATGTATGGGGGGGCCCACGGTATGAAGCATGTATGGGCGGAATAAGACAAAGAGGGAGGCAAAAAGAAAAAAAAAAAATAAAAGCATGTACCTTCCATTTTTGTGTACATGTAGGGAATGCAAAAAAAAAAAAAAAGAAAAAAAATTATGTGCTTCTGTCCAGTTTAACCAACTAAATGGTACTTATAAAAAAGGATGTGCTTCAACGCGGAGGAGGTAACTTTCTATCATGGCTCCCAGTTGATCACTCCTCAACTATGACAGGAAATATGGAAAAATAAATCTCCCTCTTGTGCAGCTCAGTTGTTGCTGTTATGTCGGTCAAGTCTTTCCTTAGCCTGAGGGTATATTCTGCGTTTCCTTTTGTCAACAGGTCCAGGCACTGGGAGTAGGCCTGTAAAGTATTACACCAGTTTTGGATGACTATATCTATGGACACTCCTGTTTTTTTTAGGAGTAATTGCAAATTGAGTAAAACAGCCTTGACATCTTGTTCATCGGCGGAAACCGTCGCTCTGAGGAGTGCCTCGCACCCCTTTCTTGCGTCTTCCTCCGTGGTATTTCTGCCTTTCTCCCGTAACTGTCTCGTCAGTTTGGTAGTGACCCCATTCAAATCGTCAATATTCAGCGTTACGGTATTCCCCTCCTTCAAGGCAAACATCACTTGGTTGTTCTTAATTTCAATTTTGTCAATAAACATGTTATTTTTCAGTGTGGCCATAAAATCGGGAGTGCTTCCATTGCTCATGAGGTTGTATACGCCAAACCACTTCTTCGTTAGAGACACCTTAGGGGTGTGTTTTTTCAATGTCTCGATGACGTCATAAGCATACTCGTATCTTACTTGGTGCGACTTGGGCAGTTCTTCTTCGAGGAGGTTGTAAAAATCCAACACATCGTCTAACAGTACATCCTTTATTTTTATGTTTATTCCATTTATTTCGATTATAAATAATAGCTTCCTTGGCTTGGAGATGTCTATATTTAGCTTGTGTCTCTTTACTTTTTTGTATTCTTTAATTTCTGATCTTCCGAAGAAAGTGAAGACAACTTTTCCCTCCGATGTTATTTCGAAAATGCCTTGCTTGGTCTTTATCTTTGTTTCTTTTATTTCTAGTGTAGTTACAATTTTGTGGAGTGTATTTTTTTCTTTCCCCCTCTTCAATTCATTTGATTCATCTCCGATTGCGTCATTTGTTTCCCTACCAGATGAGCTGCTCACCTGGTGGTAGGTCTGCTTATTGCTTTGGTTCACCTCTTCATTGGTTCTTCTCACCATGCTGCCTTTGCGTTGAAAATGGAGATTAACATTTTCGCTACTTATGCTATCACACGTTCCTTTTCCCTGGTATGTGCTACTTTCTTCACTACTTATGTTTTTATCAGATGGGTTCAATTTCTTTTCCATCATAGATTCGTCTTTCTTTTTTGAGAACTTCGCTATGAGCTCACCAGGTGTGGTGCTGGAGCTGTAGTTTCCTCCCTCTGTTAAATTGGTCAAATTGTTACTACATAGGATAGTGTCTTCCCTTTTGGGAAAGTAATCCTGAGCGAGACCTAACGAGTTGTATTCACATTTTTTATTAACCACACCGATTTGATGGGACTCCGTCGGGTTTGTATCACAATTAGAATTTTGGTGGTATATCTGGAAGGGGCCTCCGAACGGTAGATCCCTTCCCGCGTCTGTTTTTATGTTTATATTTATGTTTACATCTCCCTGGTGAGGAGACCCCTCACCACTTAAGTTCCCTCTCTGCGGGGAAGAGACACTTCCATCCGAGAAAATGGACGCCGCAGGGGTGGGAACCGATATGGGGGCAATAAACTCTTCATTGAAGCTGTCCAGAGAACAGGAAAATACATTTTTATCTTCCATATCCTCATTATATGAGTTAACTGAATAGGAGGGATCATTTTGCGAGCTACAAGCATTGTCAAATTTGTGAACAAAGGAAGGAGTCTCATTCTGATTTGCTTCCATCTGATCCTCCATGCTGTGTGTAAAGGGAGTCATATTTGCACCGATGCAAACATGACTTTGACTTCCTTCGCTATCGTACAGGTGCTCAATCCTCGTCTTGTTGTTTTTAATAATCTCTTCAATGTTTTTTCCTTCGTACTTGTCTGCGCAATGAAGAGATAGTTTACAACTGGGTGGGTTATTCGGCAGGGGATTATTTTCGATATCCATTTTGTGTTCCTCTCTGTGCCTATCATAACTGTGTTGACTTTCTTCTGCATTGAAATTTAAAACATGGTTTCCCCCTTTCGTCATGTCTTTCTCTTTTTCACTTAAAAATGGGGAGTCGAAATTGGTCATGCTGTCCCTTTGCATGTTATATAAATGGGGGGGTCTTCCTCTCCCATCCGTTTGGACCCCATTGGAATCGTCCCTACGGTAGAGACTTTCGCCATTTTGGAAGCTCTTATCTTCAAAGGGGTCATAATTTTGGCAGCTCACACTGTTCTGTTCCATTCTCATAGGATGGAGTTCACTTAATTTTTCACTTTCCACATAGTAGTTTTGGGACCCCTCTTTGATGTAATATGATTGATTTATGTCCCCTGTCTGGTTCTTCCTTCCCAGTTCACTTGTGCCATTTTGCTTACGAAGGCTCTTTGCGAGGGGATAACCACTCGAGTTGAATTCTACAATGGGGTGTGGATCATCTTCCTGGTAAGTCCTCTCGTTGCTGTCCCCCCCTTCACCCACGTTTCGCATTATATATCTGTTCACATATTTATTATCCTCGCTGAGGAGAGGAAAGTCCTGCAAATAATTCACTCCGGTGTAATCAGCCAAATTTTCACTCACCTTAAGGTTGCTGTCATTCCTAAAGGTACTCCTTTGGCCCCTATGTCTACCGCCATTTGTCGAGTCCTTCCTCATGAGGAGGTCATCCATCATGGTGTCGTTACAATTGCTTATACTTTTCACATTTGCAGAAATTTCTTGGCGACCACTTCGCTTGTCGTTAAAGGGTAACTCTTTGTAGTGCCCTTCGCACAGACTACTTTGAGAACTGGACGAGCTTTTAAGTTCGTCGTTGTGGTTCTTTGAATCTGCGTCGAGGGAAAGAAATGCACTTTGTTTGTTTTTCCCGCCACAGCTGCTGCTATGGGGATATTTGCCTTTGCTTTGGTTCGTTTTTTTGAAAAACTGCGCGGTTTGGCCGTTCGGTGTGCGCGCGCAGCTATAGCATCCACAACGGGCGTAACGGGCATAACCGCTACAGTCGCCATCCGCACAATCGCGGCTACACATGTAGCTCCTTCGAGCCAAGTACGTTTTTCCGCCCAGTGGTTGTTGACACGTTTTGTTCTGTTTTTTTAACTTCTTCTCAACATAGTTAAGTTTAAGATTATCAATTGAAACGTTCGCTAGTTTGCATTGCCTAATTGCATAGGTTTGCCTTTTTCTCTGCTTCTGGCTCCTCTCGTATGAATAGCTGCTCTTTCCGTTGTGAATACACATCTTATCAGTACGATCTACGCCTGTTCTGTCGTTGCGTTCACTTTTTATTTTCTCTGGACACGAACTAAATTCGCCCTTGGGGATGTGTTCTAGGCAGTTGGTGCGTCTAATTTTTTTTTTCTTTTTGTAAACTTTCAGGGTGCTGTTAGCTCCGCTGGCTCCATGCCAGTCGAGGTCGCTAACCCCGTCGCTAACGTAGTCGCTAACGTAGTCGCTAACGTAGTCGCTAACAGAGTCGCTGCCATGGACACTACCACCGCTGCCATTCCCCCTGCGGCTATCACCACCTACACTGCTCACATTTGCCAACTCCTCACAACTCGTGTCTCCGCCGTGGGGGGACGCACTTGACTCATCGTTCTCGTACGCCGAGTTCCGAACGGAAGAAAAGGTATCCGAGTTGGTCAGCACCGACTCTTCAATGCCTTTCACTGGAATGCACGCGCGAAACGTCGCACTCAAATATTGACTAATGTTGTAGTCATTCACTCGCTTGATACAGTACTTGTAGTTCTTTAACTTTTCGTTGTTGATGCTCTGTAGGCACTTTGCATATTCGTTTAGATTATCTGTCGCCACGCTCAGAAGCATTTCTTTAAATTTTTCTAAGTTGTTGAGGCAGGGATGCCGGTAGGGCAAACTGTCGCGGTGCCAATTATTACGGTGTAAACTGTGGCGGTGCACTTCACTTTCCTGCACCTTCTTTTTCATATCATACGGATGCCCATACTGCGTATGCGTATTTGCATACTTCTCACTACTACGTGCGTGGTGTTCACCTCTGTCATTGCACGTGCCTTCAGGTCCATCCTCACAGTTGTAGGTGACTGTACAAATGTCGCATGTGTTACTGATTCGTCTTAAATAGTTTGTGCCTTTTTCGACTTTGATATTTGGTGCGCGGACATGCATAGAAATTTTAGTACCTCCCAAGTCGGCGGTTTGTCTACGGTAACTGTTATTGCATATGGAATCATTTTTTACAAAATTGAAGTCCATATCGTTTTGGTGAGTGCTCCTTTCGTTTGTATGCCTTTTGGAGTGGCTCTCGCTTCTCTCGCGATTCTGGCCGCAATGGACGCGACTCACATTGTGGCCGGCGGTGCGACTAGCCGGAGTCATGCGGCTAATCTGGTTAATGCTGCCATTAATTAGCTGCTCTATGTAGGAATTTCTCAGTCCGCTACTTTTTATGCAATTCTTACCGACGTCTTTTTTATTTTCCTTCCTTAGCTCGAAGAAGTTGGCACTCTTGTCCAGGCAACTTTGATGACTGCTCTGGGGAGTGCCTGCTGTGTTCTTTCGCAGTGCAGGGTTTTCTGCGCTCTGCTCCGAGATGGGACCAGGTTTCCTGCGAGGGTTCACGTGAGAGCAGTTCATATCTCCTCCAACATTGACAGAACCGCCATAATTCACACCATCGCCAACACTGTCATCGTCCCCATCGTGGTCGAAGGACAGGCCTTCCAACCTATCGTACAGAATTCTATTCCTGCAGAAGCGGCTACTACTGTGATCGTCTTCCCCCGCGTTGCTAAAATCCAAGGTGCTGTAAACACGGCTGCTGTTATGCAGGAAGGAGAGATCGGGAACCTTCAGAGGCTTTGCCTTGAATATGGTATGGTTGCTGTCTAGGGTTACGAATGTTTTATAGTCTTCCAATTCGTCGTCATCTTGAGACTGATCCTTCGAATTGCCTCGGCCGCAGCCATTGCCATTTTCGCGGCAATTTTCCAGGCCATTTTTGTGGCATTCTTCGCTACTATTCCCGTGACCCCCTGAGAGGTCCTTTATTCTGCACACGCGGTTGTCCCCACTTGCGAGGTTCCCCCTCCGGTGGAGTAAACTATTCGAGTAGTTGCTCCTAGACAGTCTCGAGATCTCATTATTGCCACAATCCCCTCTGTTGTAGGCCTCTCCCTTTCTCCCCTCCGCCTGATTCGTCACACCTGAGTAGTTCCCTTCAGACACTTTTTTCTTGTAACTCATTTGCTTCAGATAATCCACACCACATCTATAATCAGAATTGTAAAGAGACGTTTTCTTTCTCACGTCGAAGTTGTCTAAATTGTCCAAGTTGTCCAATTTGTCGAAATTGCCCAAATTGTCTAAATTTCCCAAATTGCCCCAATTGCAACTGGATAAACTTAAATTTAAAGAATTGTACGCTGCAATCATTTCGTTAATTTTTCTCCTTCTATTGACCGCCTCTTCTAGGCTCTTTTTTGTGCTCGTTTCTTCCTCATTGGTTAAAAAATCCTTGGATGTGCTTTTACTCTTTAGGCAATTAGAAGCAAATGGATGATGAATATTATCCGTGTGGGGTTCTACTTTACATTCACTGTGTGCATTGTTCTTGTCGGTCTTCACCGTGGTCTTTTCCTCCCTTATATGTGGTCCACTTTTTTGCTTCTTCTGGTTTAGTAAGTAGTTATTTTCCATTTGTTCTTGCTCTGCATTTGTTCCATTTTGGCTACCACTGTTTTGTTTGCTTTCCTTAAAAATGTACGAGTCGTTATTACACTTTTGCGGAATTGTATTGCCACGACGTGTGCTATCGGGGTCAACGATGTTTTGCATTCTTTGGCATGTTTTTTTTTTTTTT